GAGGCTGCCATGGGACCCGAGCGCATCCCAGGCGGGATGCGCAGGACCCCGGCGACCTCACCTGCAACACAAACCCCAGCGCATTAAAACAAACCCAAATAACTACTTTACATCTTCACTCAGATCTAGTATTTTCCCCTCCTTCATTCCCAGCCCTTTTCCTGGGTTTGCTTCAATTTGGGATTCTCCTTTCCTTGGGTGCTGGAGGTAAACCCTGCCGGAGATCCGACTGCTGTCGCTTCCATTGCTCCAGAGCAGGAGGGTGGGGAAGGGGATTTGTCTTTTGGAGTTCTCAAGCCTGCATGTACCCTATTTTCCCTGTGCTCCTCCAGGCTGGGGTGGTGGCAGCCCCCACAGCAGCACAGGCATTGTTAGGAGGGACTGAAAGCTGGCATTATCCAAAATCCATGTAACAATCTAATTCCATCCAAAAGAGGGGGGAACTGTCGTGAATTCCCATTAAATATCACGGGAAAGTTCATATTAAATTTATAAACTACCAGCAGCCCTATTTAATGTTATTCCCACAGCACCCCCTGCATTCCCAGTTCAATCCCTCCTTTGTAAACACCCGCTCGGAACAGAATCAGACTCGGGTCTCACTTTGGGTTTTCCCTGCCGCAGGACAAGGTTTGCTCAGCCACCCTCTTGAGGCAGAGGAGCAGAAAGGTGACCCCTGCCAGCACCCCAAGCAGCGGCAGAGGAGAAAGCCCCGAGTTCTGTTCTCCCAAGCTCAGGTCTTTGAACTGGAGCGACAATTCAAGCAGCAGAAATACCTCTCGGCTCCGGAGCGGGAGCATCTCGCCCGTGCGCTCAAGCTCACCTCCACCCAGGTGAAGATCTGGTTCCAGAACCGCAGGTACAAGTGCAAAAGGCAAAGGCAGGACAAGTCCCTGGAGCTGGCTGCCCACCCGCTGCCTGCCCGCAGGATGGCAGTGCCCGTGGTGCTGGTCAGGGACGGCAAACCCTGCCTTGGGGGCTCCCAGCCTTACCCAGCCCCGTACAGCGCCAGCCCTTACTCCTACAGCTCTTACTACAGTGCCTATAGCAGCAGCCCCTATGGTGGTAGCTATGGGGGGGGCTATGCTGCTCTGCCCCCCAGTGCCACCCCCAGCAGCCACACTGTGAATGGGAGCTTGGGCATGGCCGGCACAGCTCAGCACCAGCCCCTGTGCTTGCAAACCACAGGGCAAGTGGGAATCAGGGCTTGGTAGGTGAGGGCTGCCTGGAAAGCACCAAGGAAAGCCCCACTCCACTCCGGAGCCCAGCCTGCCTCGGGATGGGAGCCGAATCCAGAGGTTTCGGGCCCCCTGGGC